ATTCTTCCTATGTGGGGGGGGGGGGGGGGTATCTAGGACAATTAGGCCACCTACACTATGCATTACTCTAATGTGTTACCATCACATGATCAACGTGTTACCGTGGGTTAAGGTGCACTACATCAAGCAGGAAAAGTGGTACATGTACCTTTTATAATGCAAGGGACCGCAATGCTCAACATGTGTGCTGTTGTGTGCCGCAGTGAAAATGCGTTGCCCGCTACTGTAACACTGTGTCGGGGTTGAGTTGTCGCCTGTCCAGGATTCACCCACACAGTCCGGGTTTGAGTCCTGTATGTGCTATGCCCGGGTTTCAGGCCAGCTGAAACCTGGACACAAGATGTCACGATGTCAGGTGGACAGGAGCAACCACAGGGTCCTGGTGTTCCAACTTGAGTGCATGGAGGAGACACGGAGGGACAGGCGTACCCGATTGGAAAGCTCATGTGAAAGAGCTCTAAATAAAATGTCTTAAAGGGCACAGGGGTTCGGCTTCAGGCAGTTGCTGGCTGTCTCTCCCTACTCTCTGTCTAATGACTGTCTCTCCTCTCTCTGCCCTAGCTGTCTCTCCTGGTGCTTTCTCCTCTGGCTGTCTCTCCTCTTTGCCCTGACTGTCTCTCCTGGTGCTTTCTCCTCTGGCTGTCTCTCCTCTCTCTGCCCTGACTGTCTCTCCTGGTGCTTTCTCCTCTGGCTGTCTCTCCTCTCACTGCCCTGGCTGTCTCTCCTGGTGCTTTCTCATCTGGCTGTCTCTCCTCTCTCTGCCCTGGCTGTCTCTCCTGGTGCTTTCTCCTCTGGCTGTCTCTCCTCTCTCTGCCCTGGTGGTCTCTCCTGGTGCTTTCTCCTCTGGCTGTCTCTCCTCTCACTGCCCTGGCTGTCTCTCCTGGTGCTTTCTCCTCTGGCTGTCTCTCCTCTCACTGCCCTGGCTGTCTCTCCTGGTGCTTTCTCTTCTGGCTGTCTGTCCTCTCTCTGCCCTGGCTGTCTCTCCTGGTGCTTTCTCCTCTGGCTGTCTCTCCTCTCTCTGCCCTGGTGGTCTCTCCTGGTGCTTTCTCCTCTGGCTGTCTCTCCTCTCACTGCCCTGGCTGTCTCTCCTGGTGCTTTCTCCTCTGGCTGTCTCTCCTCTCACTGCCCTGGCTGTCTCTCCTGGTGCTTTCTCCTCTGGCTGTCTCTCCTCTCACTGCCCTGGCTGTCTCTCCTGGTGCTTTCTCCTCTGGCTGTCTCTCCTCTCACTGCCCTGGCTGTCTCTCCTGGTGCTTTCTCCTCTGGCTGTCTCTCCTCTCACTGCCCTGGCTGTCTCTCCTGGTGCTTTCTCTTCTGGCTGTCTGTCCTCTCTCTGCCCTGGCTGTCTCTCCTGGTGCTTTCTCCTCTGGCTGTCTCTCCTCTCTCGTCCCTGACTGTCTCTCCTGGTGCTTTCTCCTCTGGCTGTCTCTCCTCTCACTGCCCTGGCTGTCTCTCCTGGTGCTTTCTCCTCTGGCTGTCTGTCCTCTCACTGCCCTGGCTGTCTCTCCTCTCTCTGCCCTGGCTGTCTCTCCTGGTGCTTTCTCCTCTGGCTGTCTCTCCCCTCTCTGCCCTGGCGGTCTCTCCTGGTGCTTTCTCCTCTGGCTGTCTCTCCTGGTGCTTTCTCCTCTGGCTGTCTCTCCTCTCTCTGCCCTGCTGTCTCTCCTGGTGCTTTCTCCTCTGGCTGTCTCTCCTGGTGCTTTCTCCTCTGGCTGTCTCTCCTCTCTCTGCCCTGACTGTCTCTCCTGGTGCTTTCTCCTCTGGCTGTCTCTCCTCTCACTGCCCTGCTGTCTCTCTTGGTGCTTTCTCCTCTGGCTGTCTCTCCTCTCACTGCCCTGCTGTCTCTCCTTGCTCTCCCCTGGCTGTCTCATTGCAGAGCGTGTATAAGGAATATATCTAATGCTCGGTCTTTTTCATGGTGTCACCGGGTCTCTGCGGGGTAATTATGGACAACACTTGCCCTGCTGTCCTTGTGACTATGGCAGCTGCTATGACAGCTGAAGCACACTCCATTCATCCATTCATGTCGGTGTCTGTTCTAGGAATTGTGTCCACGCTCAGGATCTGTGACACGCTGCCTGTGTTACCCTTTATGACACGTGAACACTTGTGCCGAGTCCAGACCACAGACGTTGCGTGTCCAGCTGCTCTGACCTAGACCGGTCTTCTCTTGGGGCCGTCGGCCAGCCGGTCACCCCAACAATTGCCTTCACTGGGCTGTATTGGCACCTTTACCCCCTGTTATAGAACAGTCCGGATGATGTCATAGACGGGCTCCTTGCCCTGAGCTGCTTTGGTCGGGGGGGGGGAGTTGCACTTTAACAGGGATTACTTTCCTGTTGACACAGCTTGAGGACGATCAGGCGCTGCATCTGATCACAGTTACCATCAAAGGCGCGCTCGGACATACCTGTAAGCATGACGCCTTTTCGCAGGTCTGCTTCTAATTAAGGAGATCAGCTCATGGGAGCAGTGGCGTCATAAGGCGGGTGTAGCCCACACAGGGTGTGACACCATGGGGGGGGGGGTGACAGTCATTTTGGTGTCACCCCCTAAGCCAGGCACTCCTGATCCTGCCGGGTCAACATCTTCTCCACTCTTTGCCGGCATCCATCATCAAGATGGCCACCAGGAACACACTTCCTGTCCTCTGGTGACAACGCTCACTCACCATGCAGTATCTATGGAGGAGATTCAATGGTATCCTAAGGCAGGACTACAGAACACCGCCTCACCTCATTGCCCTAACATGGGCTGGAATGCGTCGCCAAAAGGGTGACATGGCTATTGTTTTATGGGAGCTTTCCATCTTCCCGTCTCAGGTCCTCCCTCATTGGCTGAGTGTTCTCACATTGCTAGGAGCAGCTCCCTATGTTCCCCTCCTCCTGCAAGCTGTTGAATCACATCCGGCTCCGGGTGCTGAAACATGTTAGCATGACAGCATTGTACAACCAATTAGAGTGTGATCACTTCATGGTGCGCAAAGAAAGCTTGAAAGAAATGAATTTAAATTCATTGTAGCGCTCTATTGGGCAGTGGCGGGTGACAGCATCTCCACCAGACCAAAGTCCACAAAAAAAGAGAGGTTTATGAACCTCGAGTGTGCCCCAACCCCCTACCTCCTGACATGTACCTGAACTCTGTATGCTGCCTAAATCACCTCCTAATCTGCCTAAAACATGACACTATTAGAGCGTCCTTGTGTGATACTTGAAAAGGGGCAGGATTCCAAAAACACAGAATTTGGCATCACCCTTTAATCTCAGAAGCCGACGCAGACACTCCTAGGGGTGTATTTATAAATAATTGGCAAAAACATTGGCTCTGTGAAATTGCATGTCCATTTGTTCTGTGTAAATGGAGGCAAAAATCAATGTTGTTAGTTATGTGGCAGTGCGTGCAATGCCGCGGAGTAAGCTGGCGACACAGACACCCAGGACTCTCAGCCAGAGGGGTTGAGAGGCTCCAGAAGAGAATTCGTTTTGCAGGGAAGGAGCCGGTCTTTCTGTTTCTTCCGGTTTTTTTCTGGATTGTAGCCGGGATCTGGAGCTCTGGAGATTTCTTAAAGGGGATCTATGGGGTTTATTCTTTTCCCCATTGTTCTCCTTAGGGTAACATTTGTTCTCTCACCTCCCGATCTACTGAGCCGACCTGTGACAGTCTCAGTGTCACAGGTCGGCTAGAACTATGAGGCGAGTGAAAAGCACCCACCTCATAGTTCTCTTTTAAGGTTATCGGATGATAATTGTATGCGATCCACTTTTCGTCCGATAATCGCAAGGTGTGTGGGCAGTGTGCAACCACAAATACAGTACAATCGTACGACTTAAAACTTTCAAGCATGTTTGAAAACTTTGGCCGATCATACGGATATTGCAAGGTCAGTGGCGTTTCCGTACGTCAAAAATCGTACGATCTACAATGCTCATGCGTAAACGAAAATACGCGCGGTTGATTACTGCAATTCGTCCTAGTGCTTTTCTTTAATTACGGCTAATTGAACCTTGCGATAATCGGGGCATAATGGGGCCGCCGTACGACGATCGATAATCGGAAGGTGTGTGGCCACTTAAAAGGTGGCCATACACTCTACAACCCTCGCAAGACTTTTGTCTTGCGTTGGAATGAATGGAAATTCAAAAGGAATTACATGCAGTATATACAGTAAGTGGAGTTTACATTTTGCCTTCTCTCTATGTTGTCTTTGCCAAAAACGCTGAGAAATGTAGACGAATGTTCAAGTCTTATCATGGGAAAGTACATTCATCAGACGAGCGCGCTCTAATTAATGAGCATTTGGAATACATATAGTGGACATCACACAGGAATCTGCTTTCCCTCCATCGGACATATAGATTCCGAGAAACCAAACCCCCTGCCCCCCAACCCTGTGCAAAGTCAAACAGTGACATGTACCCTGGATATGTATTCATTAATAAACTGCCACATGTGACATCCCGTCCGACCAATCGTGTGCGCAGAAAGGGAAGGGGTGCCGGGATCTTTAAGGGTTTGTATTGCCAGTTTTAGATGTAGGGAAGGATTAGACCCTCTGTCAGGATTTTATTGCTAATCTGTAAGAAGCAGTAAGGGTGCCACACCAATGGCGTCCAGAGCGGGTTTTTACTACATAATCAGTAGACTCAGAGATCCAACATGTTTCGGGGGTGCAAAAACAACCTTTTCTTTTACAATCTATTGAAGACGATCATCTAATCGATCTGTATTGTGATTGGTTGTTTGACATTCATGTAGATATTCATTTGATTGATCAGATGCGATCGATAAAATTCCGCCATGGCCGAACCAGCTCCGAATTCACTGAACTGATACCACAGAGGCTCTGTGGCCTTTGTTTCATATTCAAATTGATCATTTCAGTCGTATTGATTGATCGATGGAATCAGCATATCAATACTTGAATAAAATGTGCAAACTAAAGATCTTCCGTCAATCAATTCAACGAGCTCTCCGTCGATTTCGGCTCTGCCAAGCTGATCGGCCGCGGGTAAAATTCTGTCGTTAGCTTCTGATCAATTGATCAAATATCCGTTCCTGTGCCAGAGAACTGATCGTAACTCAGATCGATCGATCCATCGTTCTGTAATAGATCGGTTACATTGGGTGATTGATCATATTGTCAATCGATATTTTCAGATGCTTAACATTACCGCGAGTGTCGCATCAGTTGATATGTTAATCAATAACAGATCGCTCGTTAGCGATCACTAGTATCAATCGATCAGAAATCGCTGCACGTATGTCTAACTGGCTTCGTCCGCAGAGGCAATACCATGGTGAGAATATACCACCTCGGTTTTTCCCGACAACGCCCTGGCGCCCCATAGACACCCGAACCGGTCTGACAGACTAATTGTCATCTGATGTCTACGTGCACCTTTGTGATGTTGATCCAGAAGAAGACATTTTTTTTTAAAAATGTAACAAAATATATAAAAGTAACAAAAATATATAATTGTATCAAATATAAATGTAACATATACATTGAGTGGCCAGATTATTATGACCACCTGACGTTTGTTGATGTTTTGCGCTGAAGTTGCTGGAGGTTGCATTATAAATAGGGAAGCGGGTTGGTTACCACGACAGTAGAAGTGATTCGTTTCTGAAGATACGGGGAAACAACGCGATTTAACAGCCTTTGAACGCAGGATGATTGTTGGCGCTCGGAGCCATGGAGCGAGTATCAGCAAAACAGCAGAATTCTTTAAATGTTAGAGAGCAGCTGTTGTTAAAGTGTTTAAAGACTGGACTGTCAGCCGAAAATCTGGGTCTGAACGTGCGAATTGTGGCCGTCAGCGACTAGTCAACGTTAGGGCAGAACGGGGGAGGGGCAAGACTGGTATAAGACAACAGAAGGGCAACAGCGCAGTGTCAGATTCCTCGCATCACCTTTCAACATCTCGTGGAGTCACGAGGCGGCCCAACGAAGTACTGATGGGGTGGTCATAATAATCTGGCCACTCAGTGTATATAAATGTAATAATATATAAATATAACAAATATATAAATGTAACAAACACAAAGCGGTCACTTACGCAGGTTGGCTGATCTGAAAGTAGCTCCCATCGTATCTCTTGCGGACGACCCCTTGGTTGGAGTCAGGGTTGAGGTTCTGCGACGCGGCGGCGTTGCCTGCGGCCGACCTGGATTTGCGGTGGCAAGTGTGGAAAAGAGAAAAATATTCAGAATAAGAGAAGCAGATCATATCGGCCCCTTTGTGTGCGATGAGCCGGGAGGAGAGGAGAGCCCCACACACACACACACACATACACACAGGCGCAGTGACAGCCCTGAATGGAAGCAGATGGTGCGAGCTCTGGAATCAGCTGCTCCGAGCACTCGATTATTTTTGGCCCTGGGAGGAAAACGTCCCGGGATTTGAATGACCATATAAGACAACAATGGAGTCAAAAACGCACTGGCCCTATCAGGCACTATAGGTCCGCGGGGCCCCGGGGGTCACCTCCAGGTGGTGTCACACATGCTGCGATTGTCCCCTCGCTTGGGGGAAGGTGGGGGACGTGTGTGTACCTACTCCATCCACCATGTGTCGCTAAGGCCCTGTTCACACTTTGCCGCGCGTTCACGAAGCACGGGAAAACACGCGCCGTGCTTGTGGCGCCATTGTTTGCTAACGCACCAGGCAAAAGGCGTGACTTTACCCGCGATTTGACGGATGACAAATGCGTGGCCAAAAAACACGTGAAGCTCGCAGCTCAAACTGCTACAAGAGCCACTTTGCCGCGCTTAGGGCAGCTCATTGAAAGAAGCGGCAAATGCACATAAACGCACCGCACGTCGCGAGTGTGAACGGGTCCTGTTCACAAGGAGCAGCAGTGTAAAGGTTCACGAGGTGCGAACGCCGGGCACGTTGAGCTGCGTTCATCTACACACGCTCGCTTCAAGGCTGATGAAGGGGACCCTGTGTGGCCCCCGAAACGTTGCTATTTGTTTCGACATGACGCGTCAATAAACAGACGCGTCCTTCACGTCGCTATGGTGCGTTGGTGACATATTTAACATGGTTTAGTATTAGCGGCACGGTCCGCGGTCACTTTGAGCACCCGCACGGACCCCCGGTAAGGAGTGCAGCAGCAGGATTTTGGAATACATCTACACATGCTCAGCGCAAGGCCAACGAGAAAACAATTGCTCCCCATGTGACCTGCTCACACCATAAAAGTGCTACATAAAACTTTATTTTACGCTGCGCAACACGCGCCAGCGCATGCCGACCCACCGCAGCACGTTGCATAGAGTTGAATGAAATGTCATTTTGTAATGTTTCTTTCAAGTTCAAAGAGAAATAAATCGCTGCGATACATTATAACAAACGCATTGCGACGCCCCTATCAAAGCACACCAGCCAGCGTGCATTATACCAGAACCTGCCGGAGTGAATGGGCCCTTGGGCTTGATTTACACTTATTCAAAGAGAAGCACAGAGGCCCAGTGATGACATCACTGGATCTACAGGGAGATATATCATGAAAGTGGAAAGGTTTTATTTGCTGCTCGGCTATACCGGCTGCCCGAAGCTGCTTTCAAGTGTACCTGTCATTACGTATGCAGAGATGGGCACATCTCTATCAGACAGAAAGTCCTGCATTGGACCTGAATGGGCTGGTCGGAAAATCCCCACTCAAGGTGCCTACACACCTTACAATTATCTGCAGATTTTCTGTGGTCAGATGGAAAAAGTGCAACAGATTGGCCCAGGTGGAGATTACTCCGCCCACACAGTAGGCCTGTAAAACGCTCAACATGTGAAAACCAATGATTGCCTATGGGCATGGTTCCCACCTGGGCGTTTTACATCCTGTCACAGCTCTCGGCCGTGACAGGGGAGGGGCTGAATTCCCCCCTCCTATCCTCCAGCGCTGACTGGCGGAACGGACGGGGGAGGGGGCGGGTACAGCTTACTCTGCCTCTAGATAGGCAGAGCCAGCTGTCAGTCACGCAGCTGGGCGGATCCCGGCACAATTGTCGGGATCCGCTTCAGCTGGGCGGATCTCAGCTCCCGGTATACTGAGCCTAGGGTGACGGGAGGACGCTAGTTTGTGTGAAAAGCCCTGACCCCATAGTTCTCCTTTAAATGTGAATGTTCCTTGCGGAGAATAAGGAGTAAAGCTTTGCCACTGAATGGAGAAGACTAAGGCGGAGCTCATTTAAAGGTGCTTGCCTTGAAAGACAAAGAAGCTTGGAGTGAAGTCATGAAAGGGTTGCAGGTTTATTGTCTGCTATCCGGGTTTTAAATGGACCAGCAGACTCCTCTAATAATGCTAAGGGCAGGAACTGACTGCACCCAGAATCCACTCCACCGGCCCCTGTACGGTGCGATCTGATTGACTGATCCAGGTTGCTGCACTTTGCACACCATTGTCATTGCCCCCCCGCACATGGTGGTCGATGGGGGAGGGGTGCAGATGGTGGGGGTTCTGTACAGCTGATTGCATATGTAATAATCTGTCTGTCACTATATAGAGGTGGGGGGAGGGCAGCTGTCAGGACAATGAGATCTGCATCCTCTTTGTCAGTCTTGAAAGCCATCAATGTGCATGACACCAAATCATTATTGTGCTACATAGAATGTAATGATCAATATATAAAAATGATGTCATGGAAGCCGGATCAATAACATAGCGTTCACTTGTGACCTGCGTTACAGTAGATCTGATCCCAAATAAGGAACATTTTAAAGAAGGTTTAATGTAAATTCTAAAATCTACTCCAGCCGCCTTCAACCAACTTCCTGTCTACATGCATGCGCTCCGGCATGGGTCACTTATCATTGCTCTGGACTGGCTTCTGGATAGTGGCAATGGTGGGCCATGCCAGTGCAAAGTGTCCCAGCATGGCAGCTCCACCAGGGGGCGCATGTGACACCAGCATGTCCCCACCAGGGGGCGCATGTGACACCAGCATGTCCCCACCAGGGGGGTGCATATAAAACCAGCATCCCTCCACCAGGGGGGCGCATATGACACCAGCATGCCTCCACCAGGGGGTGCATGTGACACCAGCATGCCTCCACCAGGGGGTGCATGTGACACCAGCATGCCTCCACCAGGAAGTGCATGTGACACCAGCATGTCCCCAACAGGGAGCACATGTGACACCAGCATGTCTCCATCAGTCGGTGCATGTGACACCAGAATGCCTCCACCAGGGCATGCATGTGACACCGGCATGTCTCCACCAGGGCATGCATGTGACACCGGCATGTCTCCACCAGGGCATGCATGTGAGCATGTCTCCACCATGGGGCACAAATGACACCAGCATCCCTCCACCGAGGAGCGCATGTGACACCAGCATGTCCCCACCAGAGGGTGCATGTGACACCGGCACGTCTCCACCAGGGGGCGCATGTGACACACCGGCATGTCTCCACCAGGAGATGCATGTGACACACCGGCATGTCTCCACCAGGGGGTGCATGCGACAGTGTGACAATGCAGAAGAACAGTCGTCACCTAATAGCAGGAAGTGCTTGAACAAAGACCTCCATGGCAGGATCACCGGAGATTATTTTACTGAAACCTTCAGATGTAAAAAGACTGAAAACTACTTTTGGGATGACGTGAACGCGCCACAGCTCCTGACAGGTCCTCTTCACTGGCTTTCCTAGTCAGAGATATTCCCGTTTCCTGACATGATTTGTTTTGTTTAGCTCGGAGCTACATAACAAGCAGACAAGATCATACCGGGAGCGTTCACTCGGGAATTCTCCGCACACAAGCGCCTCCATTGTCTGCCCGAAAATCTGTCTTCAATTCCATTAAGTAAATTACGTGTTTAATGCCATGAAGATCCGGAAGATGAAACCCGACCACTGAAACCTCCCACAATGTCATTCATATCTCCAAACTTTATTATAATCCTTGGTGATCCTGCCCTGGAGGTCCTTATTCAGGCACTTCCTGCGAGGAGGTGACAACGCTCTGTCCCTGTACCCTAATTGTGCTCCTGCGTTGTCACATGGGCTTCCAATGGCACACATTAGACAAGCACGGTCCACCGTTGTCACCATCAGCAAGCCCCGTCCTGAGAATTGCCATTCAGCCATCACAGGAGAGTATGTAGATGGGAAGCTGTTGCAGGGAGGCTGCAGGAGATCAGCAGCACCGAGATGTAACAAAGTGCCAAAAAAAAAAAAAGAAGGAAGGAAATATTTTATTTATAAAACAAAGAAAGCAATTGTTAATGATACGCCGCACTTTAATAAAGTCAATGTCATTCATTTAGGATTTACATCTACTTTAAAGAGGACCTGTCCCCTATTTAATATTCAGTATAGAGGTTTAGGATCAGCTACATATAAATATCGTAATCAAAGTCTATTCATGTTTCAAAAACCTTGAGCAGGGTGACTGGTCTTGTCCCTGCCCCCTCCTGTAATAAAGACCGCTCACTGCTGCCCTCTCTCCTTGTGCAGGGTGACTGGCCTTGTCTCCGCCCCCTCCTGTAATAAAGACCGCTTACTGTTGCCCTCTCTCCTTGTGCAGGGTGACTGGTCTTGTCTCCGCCCCCTTCCTTTAATAAAGACCGCTCACTGCAGCTCTCACTCCTTGTGTCGGGTGACTGGTTTGTCTCCGCCCCCTTTGACTGGTCTTGTCTCCGCCCCCTTCCTTTAATAAAGACCGCTCACTGCAGCTCTCACTCCTTGTGCAGGGTGACTGGTCTTGTCTCCGCCCCCTCCTGTAATAAAGACCGGTCACTGCAGCTCTCACTCCTTGTGCAGGGTGACTGGCCTTGTCTCCGCCCCTCCTGTAATAAAAATCGGTCACTGTTGCTCTCTCTCCTGTACAGGGTGACTGGCCTTGTCTCCGCCCCCTCCTGTAATAAAGACCGCTCACTGCTGCTCTCTCTCCTTGTGCAGGGTGACTGGCCTTGTCTCCGCCCCCTCCTGTAATAAAGACCGCTTACTGTTGCCCTCTCTCCTTGTGCAGGGTGACTGGTCTTGTCTCCGCCCCCTTCCTTTAATAAAGACCGCTCACTGCAGCTCTCACTCCTTGTGTAGGGTGACTGGTCTCGTCTCCGCCCCCTCCTGTAATAAAGACCGGTCACTGCAGCTCTCACTCCTTGTGCAGGGTGACTGGTCTTGTCTCCGCCCCCTCCTGTAATAAGGACCCATTACCTATAATAAAGGTAATATCCGGGTTTGCAAAGGCATTTGGTGAATTGATTTATATCCTTTGTGGCTATTGAGATATTTGTAATGATAGTTTGTGTTCCCGGAGTTCAGCTTTAACAAGTCATGTCTGTTGCTTCTCACATTTTGGAGGGTACATAGTTTTGCCCCTGTCAGCATACCTGTTAGCGGGTGGAGGGGGGCGGTGAGTAGGTCTCTGGTACCATTTTAAGGCGGCGGTGGGTTCTGCGCTGGTCTTCTTCTGCTGGCTGTGGGCATCTGATTGGCTGGTGTCCCCTTCGCACAAACTCTGCTCGATGGCCATCTGTATCAGTTCCTCTTCACTCAAGCTGCTGTACAGACTGTACTCCTCCGAGCCCAGAGTGCGCTGCGCCGGCCTCGATGCCGAAATCTGCGTCGCCATGTCCGGTCCGGGAGCTACAGAGGTAGGTACAACGGGAAGACCAATCAAAACAGGTGCAACGGTGAACAAGACGCCCCTTGCATTGCCCCAGCCTGTGTTCCGCCCATGCTGAATAAGCCCTGATTTCCTTCTACGAATGACACATTAATATGGGGACGCCGTAATGGCCGCCACCATTTTTCTTTCAGTGCAGTTCTCATTTAAAGGAGAACTATGGGGTCAGGGCTTTTCCCTATAGTTCTCCTTAGGGTAACGGGAGGACACAAACTAGCGTCCTCCCGCCACCCTAAGCTCAGTATATAGAGAGCTACAGCTCGCGGTATACTGAGACGCCGCAGCCGGAACGGATCCCTACATCGATGTCGAGAGCCGCACAGCTGCGTGAGTGACAGCTGGCTCCGCCTATCTTGAGGCAGAGCCAGCTGTACCCGCCCCCTCCCCGTCTATTCCACCAATCAGCGCTGGAGGATCGGAGGGGGAATCCAGCCCCTCCCCTGTCACGGCAGAGAGCCGTGACAGGATCGAGAGGTGAGCGAACGCCGGTATGTGTTCGCTCACCTCCCGATCTACTGAGCCGACCTGTGACAGTCTCATTGAAAAGCACTCACTCAGTGAAAAGCACTCACCTCCACCTCATAGTTCTCCTTTAATGTTTACATACAGCCTCAGGAATATGATGACCAGCAGGATACTGGGCGTCCTCTCCCCGGTGACCAGCTGATAGTATCATGCAGGGCAGTGTGGAGTCATACGCAGGGGTCTGTTTGCCTCGAGTCATGTGATCATTTTTCTAATAAAAGTTGTTGAATTTGCGAAACAAAACCCCAACAACACAATACAGCACGATAGCATTTCGAGACCAGAGGTGACATTTGACGATTGTTCCACAAGAGGGCGTTACAGGCCATTCAAATGTTCCCATGAAGTTATCTCAATGGCTCACAGCGACCCTTCGGAGTTGTATTTGTAAACATTGAATTGCTGTATTTGTCAATTTTCATCACACGTTCTTATTGTTATTCAAAGCTGAATTCCAGAGACAAATGAATGCAGCTCTGTAAACATGAAAGGAGAACCATGAGGTGAGTGATTTTCACTCACACTCATAGTTCTAGCCGACCTGTGACAATGAGACAAGTCGGCTCAGTAGATCGGGAAGTGAGCGAACACATACCGTCGCTCGCTCACTTCTCGATCATCTCCCTGCAGAGAGCCGTGACTGTCACTCACCACTCCCTGTAGGGATTCCCGCCTCCCCGCTCGGATCCTCCAGCGCTGACTGGCGGAACGGACGGGGGAGGGGGCGGGTACAGCTGACTCTGCCTCTAGATAGACAGAGCTACTGTCACTCACGCAGCTGGGTGGATCTCGACAGTAATGTCGAGATCCGTCCTGGCTGCGGCGGTCTCAGTATACCGCGAGCTGTAGCTCCCTATATACTGAGCTTTGGGTGACGGGAGGACGCTAGTTTGTGTCCTCCCATGACCCTTAGGAGAACTATGGGGAAAAGCACCGACCCCATAGTTCTCCTTTTATACATCATTAAAGTGACATTAAAGTAAAAAAAAATGTTTCCCTCCCCCCAATGTAATTGACCGCACTTACCTTAAATGATGTCTCTTAATCCGATCTTCCTCTTCCCTGATGTTTTCATCTGTCCCTCCAGCGGTGCGGCGGCTCTCCGATCCAGCGCTGACTCCTCTGTCCTTGCAGGCACTTCCGAACCCGCGGTGTCTGCATGCGGGTGCACGCGTCCATAGACTTACCTTGCGTCTCTCCTCCTCTCCCGGCCGAGAATCCGAACTGCGCATGCGCCCGCCCCAGGATGCTTTGCGACCGCCCGAGCAGTTTCGGATTCTCGGGCGGGAGCGCGCAGCGATAACGAGGTAAGTTTAAACCGCTGTTAAAGCGGATTTTTTTTTTTTGTTTAAACTTTTTGCCTATAACTACTGCTTGATAGCAGTAGATATAGGCAAACAAAATGGAGGGTTTAGAACCCCTTAAGACCCCGTTCACATTGAGCGATTTATCGCGCGGTAATTCCCGCGATATCGCGGCAAATTACCGCGCGATATCGCGCTCCAATGCAATCCAATGGGGCAAAGGGTCCTGCTGTCGCGGGTCGTGTGTCGCTACAGCAGGACCCTTTTTTGAGCGGATTTAGCCGCGATTCAAGCCTGCTCAATGCAAGCTTGAACGCGCGGATTTAGCCGCGATTCAAGCCTGCTCAATGCAAGCTTGAACGCGACATCGCGCGGCAAATCTCGCAATGTCGCGCAATATGCAAATCGCGGGACAAACGCGCGATTTGCATATCGCGCAGTGGGAACGGGGCCTTAAAGTATTTTGCAAGGGCCTTGCAAGGGAAAGGAGCCACACACAGCATTCTAGCACACACATGGGTGGCTCCATAGGGCCCTGCAAGGGAAAGGAGTCACCCTAAAATAAGGATATCAGGACCGGTGCTCAGGGGACCAGCTGATTCTGCAGGAAACTGAAACTTTTAAACATCAAGGAGAAGTATCCATATTAAGCTCCTGCCATTGTAATTAATTGGCTGGACGGCTCACTCTTGGCGTAAAAATAAACAATAATAAGATAAAAAAGTAAATAAGATAAATAAAAATCTAAAAAAAATTAAATTGATAAAAAAAACAATGAAATAAAAATTTAAAAAAATAAGAATAATTAAAAAAAAAGGGATAAAAAAGTTTTAAAAAATTAAGAAACAGTCAAAATAATTGACACTAACCCCGCCGCCCTGCCATCTGGTTGCCATTCTCCATTGATGGGGGGGTTCGCGGGGGTTCGCAGGGGGGGCGCATCACAGGACCTGGCCTTTGGGCGGCAGGGAGAGTAAATCCTGGGTGACAATATTCTGCCCACATAGAAATTAAAGAGGAACTCTACTCTATGCAAAAATCTATTCTACAGCTACTCTGATATCACTGCACACAGCTAGCGTCTCACAATGTGCATTAGAAGCTGCAGCCTGTCAGGTAGAGCCATGCCTCAGGACGCCCAGCATCGTCTAGCATCGTTTCCTCCACAGCATGACCGTCCCTGGTCCCGCCCCTTTCATTGATTGGATTTCAGTTCTGTCAATCATGGAGGTTCAGCATGACACATGGCTGTTACCTAGGGTGATATGAATGCAAATGGGACACCTGTTCTGGTGACCGCTGCCTAAGAGAGGCTTTCCTTTTATACTTTGGAGGGTTTTCTTTCCATTTCCTGTTGTGTCTCTGGGACAGGAAGTGAAGGGAAATCGATCCAATGGGCACAGAGAGAGCAAAAAAAAAAAAAAATCTTGGAGGTTTTAGGGCCCGTTCACACCCTCCAGTGTGTTCATCACACAGTTCCCCGACATGAGCGCAGTGTACCACTTAATCAAACCCTCCCCACGTTCTGGGGGAGGAGGGGTCGTGGTGGTGCCATTCATTTCAATAGCACCGCAGACCCGCCTCTCGCACCAGAACACATGGTACCGCATTGCCCTGCATTCCAGCGCGATCGACGATGATGGGCGGCTCTGCGACCGCCCGGCAAGCCGCGCGGTTTTGTGCACGACTGCCGCGCAGTCAGGAGTCGCCCAGGTGTGAACCTAGCCTAAAAGTTGTATCTTCCTGCAGAATCAGCTGGTCCCTTGAGCACTGGTTCTGATATCCTGTTTGCGGGCCCATTCACAGATCATGATCTTGGTGATGGATGCCTGCAGAGAGAGGAGGGGACGTTCACCCGGCGGGATGAGGTATGCCGCCGGGTCCCCTCCTCTCCCCTGACACTGTCGGGCTCTCAGTCCGTGACCGAGTGCCCAACATTTCATAGGGGGTGACACCAAAATGACTGTCAGTCATTTTGGTGTCACCCCTGCAATGGTGTCACCCGGGTGCGCACCCCCCTTTGTGACGCCACTGCATCAAAGTGGCTTAGTGGTTAACCCTTCTGCCTTGCGGGAGCGCTTACCACTAAGCCACTGTGCTGCACCCTATGGGTCTCTGACACCTTAAGGGATCTCTGGCTCATATTCCGGTTAGGACACTACCTGCATGGAGTTTGCATACTGCACCTTTGGCTAATTTCTTATGCATCTGTTACCAACAAGTCCAGGAGACAGGCTGAGGGGGAGATCAGTAATTAGTAAAATTCTGTGCTTATGTGAGTTTCCTCTGCTTTCCTCCGACACTCCAAAGCCGTGCCGGTAGGTCCATGACCGAGTGCCCAACTTTTCATAGGGGGTGACACCCCAAAATGACTGTCACCCCTCCAATGGTGGCACC